CAGAACTCAGAGGATACTCACAGGTACCTCTGCCATCCGATCCGAAAGTCTCTGCTACCAATAGGCAGCCAGGCAACGTAGCCAGCCAGGCACCAAGCAAGGGTAAAGGAAAGAGAAGTGGCTCACTAGAAGCAGCAGAGGGACTGAAAGCACCAGGGAGCATGGGTTACACTTCAGAAACCCTAGAAAAGTCATCTACAAATTCTCCCACTGCATCCCACTGGCAGGGCATAGAGGGACTAAGAATGAAAAAAAAAAGTCATGGTGGGCTAAAAAAAGCCCTCATATCTTAAAACAAATGCAAGTAGCTATTCTCAATAGCTAACAAGAGTACACCATGTGGCACTGTAGGTTAGACATCCGGTTACTAACCACAGAGTCAGTGGTTTAAACCCAGCAGCCACTCCTCGGGAGAAACATGAAGCTGTCTGCTCCCACACAGATTTACAGTCTTGGAAGCCCTTGGTAGCGCAGCTGTGAGTCAGAACTGCCTCCGTGGCAGAAAGACCTGCAAAAGCAGAGTCTGTCAGAGAAGGAAAACGTACTAGGTAAGACTGCGCCCTGTCAAAGGCAGAAAACTTACCAAAGTAGGCAAAACCAAGACAGCTGCGTCCAGTGGCGGCTCTCACAGGCTTTAATAAATATTCAAAAGCCAAAACCAAATCCATTGCTATTGAGTCAATTCCAACCCCCAGCAACCCTGTAGGACAGGTTAGAATGGCCTCTGCGTATTTCCAAGTGGCAGGTGGTTTTGAGCTAAGGTTTTGCAGGTGGCAGTCAACTCCTAACTCACTATGCCACAAGGCTCCTCTGATGGTACATGCTAGCTCTTTTTATTACGAGGAAGTCGGAGGCCTCAAACATCTCTCCCTGCACCCATCCTCTCTCATGTTGAGAAGATCTGGTAACTGGCTCAGAGTTCAATGGCAAGCAATAGCTAAAGTAACTAGAACACAAATGGTTCACCTTTATACATGTAATTTTATAATTTTTTTAAAAAATGAAATCAACTAAATCAGAAAGACAGTTATTTTAGCTAAATCTTTCTAAATCTCTAAACTACCAGAAGAAAAAGAGTGTTAGAGAGAAATATATGCACGAGATCTACAAAGGTCGGAGTTTTTGTTTCCTTCAAATTACAGGTTTGGGAAAGTACTATATTGCTGGACTAGTTCATTCACTAGTGGGGCAAGCGGGGTCAGAGGAGACCCACCACCAATTTCATCCATGAAAAGAAGGATGATGGGAAATAAGTAGTGAGAAAAACATCCAGTGTTCTTGACTTAAAAAAAGAAAAATCTGGCTACGCTGTAATTCCCACTTATTCACATGCATTCAAGTTTGATATCTCCCTTCACTCCTCAATTCTGTCTCTCCACCCACTGGGAGTACATGATGTTGGTTACATCTGTTGATCCCACTGCCATCAAGTCACCTCCGACTTCTAGAGTTTACACCCACCTTGTGCTTATCGACCCAACACCTAACCCACAGTGCCACACATCTGTTGACAACAACCAGGTGGTTTTGAAAGTCTTAGGTGCCTCACTCTTTTTTTATCCTGGTGAGCTATCTGTATCCTAGGACTTAATTTTGATGGTCCTCCACTTCAATTTCCCTAAAGCGTAGTATTGGAATTCCCAGTATTTTTCATTTTACTTGGCCCCAAGAAAATGTGCTTATGCCCCCAGGAATAAGTATTGATCTACGTAAGGCAGAGTGTTAGCAAACCTACAAAAGAAATTAAAGCTATGGGGCTGTTTTGTTGGTTGGTTGGCTGGTCTTTTTCTGAGTCTCTCTCACCTTCTCTCTTCAGCCTTCCTTCCTACAGTTCCTCTTCATTCTGACCCTCTTAATTCAATCTACAGGCATCTCACTCCCTCTGATGGTTAGGTTTTCTGTGCCAACTTGGCTCCCACAGGCACATGTGGGCAGAGGTTAGCCTGTCAACCAGATTACAGCGTGACTGGAGGGCTACTGAGATAAATGGCTTTCCAAGGCTGGCCTCCTTCTTTCTCCCTGATCAGACCAACTTGTTGCTGGCTGGCCCAGTTCTCTGCCTCAACCATGTGCTGCACTGCCTGTGGGCCAAGCCAACCCATGGATCATGTAGCCTTGCCATGCATCAGTAGAGCTTGAGGCTCCATCAGGACCTGCTTCTCTATGCTCCCCCACTTGCACTACTGGCCTCTACTTCTCATCTCCCTGCTGCTAGCTATCACCCTGCTGTGTCTGCTGCCTGCAGCCAGCTCTCCTAGTCTTGCCTCAGGGCAGATTCCGCTGTATCTTCCTTGACCTTGGACCATCAGTGGCAGGAGTTCAAAGGCTTCCAGTATATTAACTGTTGGGCGAAAGTGAATTGAATTGAGCCCTCTGCACTGCTGTGTGGACTAATGAGCTGTTGTATTCCTTCTCACTATACAAACTTATCATATATTATATATATATATATATTTTTTTTTTTTAATTATAAGTATCCTGGTTTTATTTCTCTAGAGAACCCTGCCTAACACTCCCCTTGAGTCAGTTCCGACTCATCGCCACCATATAAGACAGAGTTGAACTGCTCCTGTGGATTTCCAAGGCTATTAATCCTTATAATAGAAAGAATAATTTTTCTCCAGCAGGACAGTGCAAGACATGAAAAATAATAATTTGTAAATTATCAAGAGTTAATGAGGGAAGGAGGGGAAAAAATGAGGAGCTGATACCAAGAGCTCAAGTAGAAAATGTTTTGAAAACGATGATGGCAACACATGTACAAATGTACTTGAGACAATGGATGGATGTATGGATTGTGGTAAGAGTTGTACGAGCCCCCAATAAAATGATTTTTTTAAAATACGGCGTTTTGCTAGAATAATTAGTTTTGCAGGTGCTTTTCCCTGCGTTGAAAAGGAGTAGAGGGAGGAAGCGTACAGGGGAGGAGCTTAAATGGTTTCTCACCTCCTCAGTAGTTCCACAGTTTCGTGAACCACCTGGATGCTTGTTGGTGAGACTGAGTTATAAACTGCAGTATGAGCCCCTATTAAGGAGACGGGAATTGGAATTGCCTGGGTCAGAACCACAGACCATTCTATCAAGCCTTCCTTAGACCACAAACATGAAGCATCTGGTTTTCTACCGCCCTCCATTTTCAACCTCAACATTTTGGCATGTGCCTTAAAATTGCAAAGTTACTCATTGTATGTCACTGAGGTTGTAGCGTCTACGGATTTACTTGTCCTAAATTTGCATTTTCACTTAAAGCTCCTCAAAAATGGCTTCCTGCTGCTTTAGATGCATTTCCAGTCCTAGTCCTTACTTCAGGAGCCCCAGGGGATAGGCACGGTGGGCTTCGCACTAGGCTGCTACCTGCAAGACCAGCAGTTCGCTCTGGAGTTCTCCACAGGTGAAAGAAGAGGCTTCGTGCTTCCATCAAAAGTTGGTTTCCAGAACGCACAGGGACAGTTCCATAGGCTTGCTATGAGTTGGAATGAACTTGGGGATAGAGAGTTTGAGTTTATTTCCTTACTTCATCTTTTTCAAGGTTAAAAGAGTGCCCCCAGATTCACTAGCTCCAGGTTGCAACATAAGGAACCATCCAGGGCGTTCTAACTACTAACTAAATTCTTCCCACCTCAGCATTCATTAAGCCACCTCTGGTTCCCTTCCCACAGCCACAGCCTACTTTAGGAACTCTGTAGTTGTGTGAATGAATGCCACAGTATCATAATAACTATATGACTGTGGGCAAGGACTTAACTTCAATGACCCTCAATTTCCTCATTCATCAAACAAATTAACATCAAAAGGTGTTTTGTGAAGGTAACTGTCCCACAAAGAGCACGGATGGATCGGATTATGATGATCATACTCGTTTCTGTTCCTGCTCCCTCCCACAGGTAAACACGGTTGTGGTGTCCCCTCTGCTTCAGCAGGTGTTCACCAAACCAGCTTAACCTACACAAAACCAGTCACTCCCTCTCCTTTCAATCTCCAAAGAACGGGAAAGATTCCACACATCACTTGGGGCACGCTGGACACTTCTGCCACAGCACAACCTAGAGCCAACTGGGTACCCTGGGGGCTTTATTTTACATTCCAAAACATGGAAATCCCTGACAGCCACCCAGTTCTGATCTCAGGAATACTGGCAAATATGTAATTGTATCAGAGTAGCCGTGTGTGTGTGTGTGTGTGTGTGTGTGTGTGTGTGTGTGTGTGTCTCAAAGTCAGGCAATGAATAGGCATGGATATAGCAGATATATATATAAATATGTCAGAGCTATATCTAGCAACACTGTGCCTGTTTCTCTTTTTAAAATTTTGCTGTAGCAATTTTCGGGTGAGATGAAATAAGCACAGCTTGACCAAGTTGCTGTGACATCCACATTGATCATCTTCCCTGTGTGGGGGATGAGGTGTCTTTCATGGAGAATCAAGCTGTGTATGATGTAATTGCTTTCTTCTTTCAAAAGGCCCATCTTGAGTCTTAACTACCCATCATGAGTCAATGTTCCATTTCACTAGGGAGTCACACACTAGGCCCATCTTATTATTAATCCCTATCTTTGGATTCTCTTTATATGATTGGATACATTAGCTCCATACCTTTCCAAGCCTGTGAAGAGACCCATGGAGATTCCAGCCAAGGACCAGAACCTAAGCCAGGCTCACTCACTCTCACTACCATCAAACCGATGCCAATGCATAGTGACCCTGTAGGACAGGGCAGATCTGTCCCTGTGGGTTTCTAAGACTGTAACTATGAGCAGAAAGTCTCACAGTTCTTCCTTGGAGCGGCTGGCGGTTTTGAATTGCTGACCTTCCAGTTAGCAGCCCAGTGTTAAAACCACTTTGCCACCAGGACTCCTCCCAGGTCCACTAGCAGGGAACGATACTTTGCCAGATGACAAATTAACTCTTAGGTTAACTCTTAATTAACTCTTAATTGAAATAAGTTATTTTTAGATATTAACTACAGCATTAGGAGGAATCCATCGCCTGTCCGATCTATAATGGGTTCATCGGCCAATGCCCATTTCAAGTCATCTATTTACTTGCAGGAGCCCGATCAAAACACCTCGCGGTTCAAAATCTACCAGGGTAAGTAAGTGCGCCAGTGGATTTAGAGCTCTGTGACCTAAAGATGAATCAGGAAGGCTACAGGCTCCAAAACCAACCTCCAAAGTAGCTGGTGGCTTATGGCTTCCAGCCTCTGACTGAAACTTAAAATAATCTCACTTTGATTCCTGAATCTGCATCACTTCTGTCTGACGACTTTTCTCTCAGACCTGAACATCTGGAATGGCACAGAGCCTGGAGACCCCATATGAACTCCGGTAGCAGAGCAGGGAGAACAAAAAAACGACCAGGTCAGATGAAAACCCACTGCAATAGGGCTATTTAATTAATGTAAGTGCCAGTTCTCTATCTTTGAAAGGGGACCATATCCACTTACCCCTAAAGGGTACTTAGGGGCTCCAAATTAGAGAAAGAACAAATTAGAGAGCTTGTGTTAAGTGCTCCTTTTCCTTTCTTGTTTTAAGCCAGAATTAAAGTGTGTTTTTTTTTGTTTTTTTTTTGTTTTTTCCAGAATTAAAGTTTTTTAGGTTGTATAATTAGGGCCATCTCTCAACGCCCAGACATGGAGACAGAAATGAATTATGTATAAATAAGGGAGTCAATTATTATATGCAGACCCTAAAAACAAGTAACACTCTGACTCCAAACAAATTAGTCTACTTTCCTTGATTAGGTTAAAAAAATGGAGAGGAAGAATAAGAAATTTGCTAAAAAACAGAACACAGAGTTAACTACACAAGTTTCAGCAAATCGTCACACATCAGAGAGAAATGTGACAAATATGCAATTGTGGGTTTTTTACTCCCATAAATGTAAACTCTACATAATGCCATTTTTTTTAATTTATCAAACTTGGCAGGCAGATTTACATTTTTTATGGTTTTAGTCACCAACAAACCGAAGCATAAAACCATTCAACTTATAAAGGTTAGATGTGTTTAAATATGAGGGGACAAATGAGTCGGGATGAATGAAATGCTCAGATGTGTGAGTTATGACCAAATTAGCAACAATTCCTCAATATCTGAAGGGCAGAAGGAAGAAAGAAAAATTGTGGCCAGACCGAAGTCCCACCAGTTAGTATAAAATGTAACTGAAACTAAGTTTGCGGATGGCTGCCGTACAGCAGTGTTCACTCTAAATCCCATGCCAGGCCCCTACAAAATTCATCGCAACTTCTGCTAGATTGCTACTTTGTTCCATTGAAACTGCAATTCGTTTGAGCATTCTCAGATGCAGAAAAGGGAGAAGTTCTGGAATCTGATTACAACATTCAACCGGAAGATCCTAAAGGAAATGCTTAGTAATGAAACTGTGGTGAAATCAACAGGTGAGAATGAAGTCTAGGATCTTGTAATGAAGATGATGAAGGAACAGGGATTCATCGACTAACCATGAGACCATTACAAAAACATGGTTGATAGCTGGAGGGTACAGGACCAGGAAGCGTTCCCTGGTTGTACACAGGGTCACTATGAGTCACAACCAACGCCACACCACCTAACGATAACCTTGGAGCCAGCCAGCACCAATGGCAAACATGGATGCTTCACCTTCTTGCTCTTATCGCCTATGAGGAAAGGATCATTCCCTCTTTCCAAATGAGAAATCGGGGACTGAAGTTCAGTAGTTTGCACAAGGTCAAAACATTGTGAATTGTGGTGAGATTAAAACCCAGGAAGCAGAGATCTGGCTCTCAAACATGGTATTTAAAACAGCAATGCTTCACAACTTGCACCAGCCTTGCTTCCAGCTATGAAAAGGTGGGCAGGGTTATTCACCGCCTGGCAAAGCTTACCATCTAAGAAAACTGCCAAAATCTATTAAATGATATATAATCCATGTGTGCCACCACAGAATCCTGCTGATTGAAAGAGCATGGTCCCTAGCAACTGCCAGGATGGTAGTTTCCTGAGGTGGCAGGTAGAAAAAAGCAGACTTTGAGAGCAGAAGCAGGAGCTTCTGATGACCTAATCTAAAACCAAGAAAGGTCTTGGACAGATGAAGGACGGGAGGTCAGGATGGACCACCCCAGAACAAACAGAACCTGGATTCTGCTGGACAACATCTGGAGCATGTCAAGAATTTCTCTTCATTCTAAGTAAACAAGAGAAGTTCAAGAACAAGATAGAACCGAATCAATCAAGGATGGACACAGTCCTGATACAAACAAATTAATCCGAAGACAACCAAAAAAAAGATCTCACCCTCCGCTACACTTTAAAGTGGGGTGTATTAGAAAGATTAGCATAGTGTGCACCAACACCCGGTGGGCAGGGAGGAGAATGAAGCACATCAGAAGAATGCCTGACCACAACCAACCACTTTCTTTGAGTTCCTACATCACTCCCAGAGCTTTCCTGCCTGGGAAAGTTCCCATCCACTGTTCTCTCTGCTGAGAATGCTCTCAGGATAGTCAGCTTTCCTGGCAGGCGCTCCCTGATCATCTTCTCAGAGAAGCTGACCGACCATCCATCCTCCCTGGTACCCAGCTGTCAGCTTCACAGCACTTTCTCAAATGCTAACTTTTCTTATCTACCTACATCTTGTCTTCGCTCCCATTCTCATCGGAAGGAAAGCTCTATCGTTCTCATTCATTCTCTGAATACCCACCACACAAGATCACTGCCTTCTTCTGCCTGGTACTCAACAGATACTCCATTTTTTTTTTTCTTTTTGGAACAAAATGTATACAGCTTTTACAAACGGTCACCTCCTACTGCCCAGAAGGGAAAGAAACAAAAACAAAACTTGCCTGGCTTTTCTAAATTGCCTGTTTGGGCCAAATGACATGATCTTCAATTGTCACTTTGCAGTTTCATTTCCCCCACCAGCACCTGGACTGTAAAGCTAGGTGTGGTGTGAAAACCCATCCACGACTCCATCTGAATATTGTGCATACTGCTGTGCAAACTGGGGGCATCCATGAACAGTCTCCGTCTGAAGTCTCCTAAAGGCTGCACAAGAGTGTGCTGAGCTCTGACACCAGCGTGCCACCCCCCCCACACACACACACCGCTGTTCTGTGTGTATACTACAATTATCTCATGGGGAAGATGGCAAGGATATAAAGAACAAAATCCTGCCTCTGCTCCCCAAATCTCTCTCTCACACATAGAGAGACAGACAGAGCCCTTGAAGAAATTAAAACCAAAGGGTAACCATGCACACTGACTACACCAAGGGGGCCCTAGTTGAGTCTATTAATTCAATATAAGCAGTTTGCTAAAGTTGTCAAAAGATTTCTAACACTCGCTATTTTAAAAATAGCATCCCTACTCCAAATTCCCCAGTTAAGCTTAAGGAAATGGTCCCGAATGGGCTGGGGCCTGGTGAGTGTATTTTCACGGAACCACTGTCATGAGCCACACAGAGCTAATAAGCATTCCCAGTGGGTAAAGTCATTAATTAGGAGGGCTGCCTCAGATGTCCAGGCACTACATAGTACCAGCTTGACCCTTGCCTTTCTGTTTCCTGGAGCTCTCCATTCTACGGAATTCACTCTCCTTTCTTTTCCTGCAAGCAACGCGAACACAGAAATCCCCAGCCGGAGCCGGGGAGGCCGGGACATTTTTAAAATCCTCTTCCGAGACCAAAGGCCACCTGTAAGGTGGCACCGGCCTGAGCAAGCCCTGCCCCTGCCTCCCAACGCACGGAAACCCTGCAGAAGTTTGCAAACGTCAGGTCCAGTGGGACCAGAGGTCAACTCGGTGGTCCGGCTCCAGCGGCGCCCCGAAGAGAAGAAGCAAGATGGCCCTGCCCGGGGCCCCAGCGCGGAGGCGGAGAGCGCGCCGGGCGCCCAGGCCGGGGCTCCGCGGCCGCCGTC